AGAATTAAAATTGTCACTTAAATATTGGGAACCAACAGGAGGTCGATAAATTGCCCCAAATAAAATATTCTTTGAGTTGTTTATAAGAATTTCAAGCCAAATACCTTCGACAGAAGTGGACTCTAGGTCCCCTCTTCTAAGAACTGATAGAGTGTCCCGTACAAAAACAACAACTCCACCACCTTTAGCTTGACGATCCCTTCGATAAGTAGTAAAACCATCTACTTTAATTTCATTATCTGAGACTGTCGACTTCAAGTGGGTTTCCGTGATTGCAAATACATCAATTTTGTTATGATGTTCCAATATTAAGCGTATTTCATCCATTTTAGGTAGAAGAGAACAAATGTTCAGATGAATAAATTTAAGACCCCGTTTACTTGATAAGTTCTTCAGCTCAGGAATGGCATACTCCAGTGAACTTTCTTCGTCAACATCAGCAGGAAGAGTAGTACAATTTGCACATGATTTTGATACCTCAAATTGAGGACCAATACATTTAAGATGAAAAGGATTGCCACACATTGAGCAATTTACATAGCCAAGGTTCTTCTTTAAAACAATCTTGCACTTTGAACACCTTGGTCTCAGTGAGCGACCAGAAGTAGCTTGAACACCATTGACTGGGCCAGGGTTGAGTTCCAAATCACCAGCTAAGTATAGTAGAAACAAAGCTATGCCAGATTGCCTTACGAGTTGAGAGGAAGCCAAAATAAGTATCGGTAAAGACGGAGTGTTATGATGTCGACGAGTTGATATGACACGTGTTGTACTTGTACTACCAATAATGTCGTATAAAGCACTCTTCTCCAGAACAATTCCAGTAGAAAAATGCTTCACAGGATATTTACCATGGAATGAACAATTAAAAAGAGCGTAAAATATAAAAAAATATATATATAATTAAAAATATTTTACGGAGCCCCCGTTCTGCGTGGCCACTCGTCATCTTGCTTCTTCTGCTTCTTCTTCTATTGAGAAGAAAGTGTACTGACCTGTAAGCTTCATTCCGTTTTTTTTTTTTGATTCAATATGTACATATTTTTTTGATAATTTTCTCTAAAAACGTCTTGTTTTGAAAAACACATGTCCACAATTTTCGTGTGACTGAGAAAATCGTTATCGCGTGGCGTGACTGTSACGCTGTTGTATCCTAGCATTCTGATTGGACAAAAATATTTTTTGCACTGTGGTTGGCTTAATTAAAAACGTCATTGTCAAATTTGCTAATTTTTTTTTTAAATACTAAATTTTAGATTCCAAGAGAGAAAAGGATGCAAGAGGGCTACTGAAGTCAGCTGTTGAAAGGTAAAAATAAAATAAATCTTATAAAAATGGATTTTTTTTTTCACCAAGAGTTGTGTACTTCGTACTTGCATGTCCGGGTGTTATTAGCACATCTATTTGCTTGGGAGGGGTGTATGGGGACCACAATGATTGACATGAAGCATTGTCGACATGCCTGGGAGTGTTTCAAATTCTCTGTTGCTGAGGGTTCATTAGCCTGGTTTTTGTTTATGAGATTTTTGTGAAGTTGCACATTCTTTACTTTATCATTGGTATTTTTGAATATTTTGACTCTAAAACTATTAATTATTTATTTATCTTTACCCTAAATCATAAATGTATTAGTCAACTGACGTTTACATTCCTTATTTTGATTTTAGGCTAATTTCCAGAGAAAATATAATAATCCTGGATTCATTAAATTATATTAAAGGTTTGTTAAGTAGTGTTTAAAAAACGAGTAGGAGTGTTTTATCAGGTATAAAAGCACGAGGCTTAGCTGAGTGCTTTTATACCTGATAAAACACGATCTACAAGTTTAAAACTGCTTAAAACACTCATGAACAATTTATAAGATTTTGGTTCAACTGGAGCCACCATACACGTCACGAACATGGATTTTTATACTTCGATAGAGATTTGACGTCATGGGCATGCGCAACCAGATTCAATAGAAGCTCCCACATGTTGGATATTGCGTGCCAAGGCATTAGGGTTGACTATGACCTTGATGAAGCTCTATGTCTTCATCTAAACTTGGATGCATACTTCATCCCTGATGAAGTCATCCTCATAGTATTCGAGTGGTCACATGTGTCTTTATATAAAATCACTTGAATACTAATGAAGAGGACTTTATCAGGTATAAAGGTTCATGCACGTGACGTGTATGGTGGCTCCAATTGGACCATAAGCTTATGAATTATTAATGAGTGTTTTAATTGATTTTAAAACCAATTTGAGGTTAGACTTGATGAAAAACAGTAAATGTATGAATTATTTTAATACATCAAGTCTAACCTCTTGCTGGTATTTTCATAAACATGCGTACTCGCTAGCTGTGAGCTGCATGCTGAAATTTGGTTTTTCGCTGCTGTCAATCAAAACAAATTAGTCGGTAACTGTCATATTTTTGACTGGCGGCAGCGAAAAAACAGTTTTCAACAAAAAAGCTGCAGAGTTTGTGAGTTTGCATGCTTATGCAAATAGCAGTAAACAACTACTTTCTATTCGTGCAACCAAAACTTGTGTCGCTAACAAGTTTCAGAACAAAATTACAAAAATACTTTTAAAATCATTTTAGGATACAGGTATGAGTTGTACTGTGTAGCTAAAGCACAYAAGACTACACACTGCCTGGTAAGTACATAGTAGCCGAATGTCAGAATATGTACCGCCCAGCTTTTATACGAATAAGTCTGTTCCAAAGGAAGAATGCTCGATTGTGGCTAATTGTGACATCTTAATCACTTTCTCAAGATTCATTGTGACACTCCAAGAGAAACATGTGCAGAATGGAATGGAAAAATGGAAGATTCATACCCAGAGGATATGTAAGTTTAAAAACCATCATCATTATATCATCATTATCATCTGCATCATCACACTTATCAACAACATCACCATCACCATAATCATCATCGTTATCATCACCATCATCATCATCATCATCATCATGCGTATCATCATCATTATCATCATGTATCACCATCATCAGGATCGTCAAACAATAACGGTTACACTTGTCTTTTACATTGTGACAGTATTGATGCTCTCATCATGCGGTATGAGCCCCCTGATGCCAGGAACAGATGGGACTCTCCTCTCTTCACAATACAGGTACGAGTGCTATAAATCTTTTAAATATAAAAATTTAGCAATACTATGTACTTATTGACTGAGTGGGAGGGCCGTACGGGAAAATGTTTGGCTCGAGGTGATAACACTTTTTATTCTCGTTTTCCATCCCCTTTTCATATCCCATTTCGTTGTCCAAGGTCGATGATGTTCTTCCAGCCGAGTTGATCTATGATGCTCTTATCAACCGGGTACCACATCGACCAAACCAGGCTACTCAATCGGTGAGCTGTGCTATTGAGTATTATTTCTTTCTTTACTAGGAATGCTTTTCAGCTATGGTGCAATGTCTTTTCATTTCAGACCATGTCATTCCCTTGAGTATTATCTCTTTTACTGATGGAATTCATTTATGCTTTGTGCTTTCTTTGTTGATAGCAACCATTGTCAGCAACGAATTTCTTGTATGAATTGGATAGAATTACACAAGATATTGTGACAGTAAGTACAGCTTGAAGCCAATGGATGTATAGATGGATGGATGAATTGATGGATGAACGAATGAACCAACAAAATGAGCAAAAGAATGGATGGATGGATGGAGGGAGAGAGGAAGGGACAGAGGGAGGGAGGGAGAGAGGGAGGGAGGGAGGAAGGGAGGGATGGATTGATTGATGGATAAATGGACGGATGGATGGATGRATGGATGAATGGGATGAATGGATGGAGAAGGGGTAGACCTGTTTTTCACTTTTAAAATCAATTACCAGTATTCTCATTCCCAGGCCATACTCAACTCACAAAAAACGTTTGTTCCTGGTGACAAGATAGCAGTTCCTGGTACAGATCAACTTATATCCTTACATTGTTTTCATACTAAAAAGATATGAAGAGGGGTCTTTTTACTACTGACAGTCTGTTGAGGAGGCATGATAGTATAATACATGTACTTGCCCCTCACCTTTAAAGTGCCTATCGCCCTTCCAACAATATTCACAGCATTGATTCTACGTGGGGTAAAATGTTGAATAGCCCAAAAAAAAATGTTAGTTTGAGTGCAGCTTCTTGAAGTTTTAAAGGTTTTTCCATGCCACATGCTAATACTCTGCACTCAAACTATGAAATTGTTTGGGTTATTCAACATCTTACCTCATGTAGAAACAATACTTCAAGAATATCGTCAAAAGGGTGATAGGCACTCTAAGGTCCCAGGTTCAAATCCCAGTTGTCCCATGTGACCTGAGATGGTTGGTTCTCTTTATAACAGGATTTTTCTGGCTCTGCAGTTTTTTTCTACCTTTGCTCAAGCTGCTCTCCAGGGACTATCATACATGGACTATCGTTTGAATGTTAAATTGTCCAAAGAGCCTGGAGTTGGATTGCGGTAAAAAGAAAAACATTCCCTTTGAGCAAAGGTTTTCTTCTTCCCCTACATAGGGCTGAGTAGAGGGGCAGAAAAAGACTTCTGCAAGAAGTATAAGAAAAAAGCTTAGACTTGCTAAAATTGAATGCAATTTGAATAAAAACCTACTTGAAGTAGCAGTTTATCCTTAACTATTTCTACATTGTTCTTACTCGACAAGTAAACATGGCTGAACTTCGGCGAACAAGACGGCAATTTATCACTTATACTAAGACACACCCTGTGGACGACACAAGTAAAATAGCCAACATGTTCGTACAATATCTTAATAACTGTATCCATTGAATGAAAAATGTATTAATAGAAAATGTTGATAAAAAACCTTTTGATTTTATCAATACCCTGAAACAACCTCTGGTAGGGTTGATTAAAGTTCAAAAAGGGTAAGAAAGAGAGAAAAAGAAAGGAAGGAATAAAGAGAGTATAGGAAGGAAGGAAGGAATGAGGGAGGGAGGAAGGAAGGAAGGAAGGAGAAAGGAAGGGAGGAAGGAAAGAGGAAGGAAGGAATGGATGGAAGGAAGGAGAAAGGAAGGAAGAAAGGAAAGAAGAAGGAGGAAGGAAGGAATGGATGGAAGGAAGGAAGGAGGAAGGAGGAAGGAAGGAGGAAGGAAGAAAGAAAAAGAAATGGCCAAAGAATAAAGGAAGATCAGTATAATTTTCTTATGAATTTTAATGGCCGTGCACACCAAGCAGTCTAGGAATGTAACATCATACGCTACTGACACAGCAATACTGTTATAATGAATTTCTTGTCATCTGGGCCCAGTTGTACGAAGGTTGGATAGCTCTATCCGATTGATAAATGCTTATCCAGTGGATAAGTCAATGCTGTTATCCAATAAATTTATCCACTGGATAAGATGTCTGTCGGACAGGGCTATCCACCACCTTTCGTTCCAGAATCACGACGTCATCTGTAAGGTTCCAATTGGCCACTTTAGAAACGTGTGAAGGACTGGGAATGAGTATATAGAAGGTATTGATAATTAGTCTTATTTAAAGAATGTTTCCATGACGATAATTAACAAATCAAAAACAGTTTTCCGTGTTGGGAGAACACTCGAGAAGCTGGAAACCACTCCGCTACGCGTCGTGGTTTCCTACGCTCCTCTCGTGTTCTCCCAACATCCCGCGTGTTTTGATCAGAGTATCAAACACAGAAAACTGTTTTTGATTTGTTTTATAAAATAACAAACGCGCGAAAAGATCGAAAAAAAGCAAAGTCTAAGTAAATTCTCCCTACGTGCCGTCTTATTCAAACTGACCAATGAGCGCGCGCGATAGATTAAAAATGACGATAGCGTGTTTTGATACTCTCATCAAACATGGTTTTCGACCAATCATAGCGCGCGTAGTATCCCAATTATTTTATAAAGAGCGGTAATTAGTAGGTTTCTGCAGTTTGGCTTTGATTGGGTAAGTAACAGCTAAATTATAAGCAATCAAAAACATCAAAAATTACCGAAGAAATGTATGTTTACTAGGGACAAACGTCCCCAGTAACTATACCTTTCTTTGTAATCTTAGAGATGTTTGTGAGGTTGCTACACAAAAGGTTTGAAACCCATAATCTTGAAACTCCAGAAATTTACTACTGTCGATGTACTCTTTCTTGTTATGGTGTTTATTCAACTATGTTGATTCTCAAAACTCGTTACGAGTCCTCAACTCATTTCTAAAGTGGTCAATAATGACGTCACCTATTAAACTGCCCAATGAAAGTCAAGATACTACAGTAATGATTTCATGAACCAAAATTAAGTGAGGCATCATGCAAAACATTCTGGTAATGTATTGACGTCATAATCACTGTCCAATCAAAATACAGATATTCATTTGCATAAATATAAGCTTATCTATTCCCCCCAATTTATCGTCTAATTATTTTAATCGTTCTTATTATATATAATTTACGTAAATACAAATAATTCCCCATCCTCTACTTGTCGCTATTTTTTTTGCTACATTTTCATTTGATTGGTTCTTAACAAATTTCAACCCAGGCTACTTTCGTCCAAGATCGACCTAAAATAATGGTACCCACTTTCATTTTGCTTCATTTCCGGTCGCGTCCAGTCCTCGCACATTGCCTGGGTCGTCTATTTATTTGACCAATCCTGAACTTAATTTCAATATAATTTACGTCAAAATACCGTGCAATATTTGTATAAAATATTTTGCAGAAAATAGAATTAGAAAATCAATGCAAATCGAAGTCTTCAAAATTCATCGTCAAAAGTCCTAATGGTGGCCATTTTGAAACGTAGCCAAGCCTTCTGCACGAAACCTAGGCTTTGATACCTACGTCATCTCCGAACGTTGAACTTCACATAAGCCGAACCTAATGAAATTCAAAGACCGTTTTGTTATCCATTGTTTCCATTAGGTTCGGCTCATGTGAAGTTTGACGTTCGACCTGAACATAAGCAAGCATATAAAGAAGAATTTTAGCCCAAATCGAAATATGGTGACTAATTTGAATAACAACGCTTTTATGTTTCCACGTGAACACATGTCGCTGGTCAGTCGCTGGTCCTTGCAGAACAATAGTTATTCAAATTGGTCTCCATTATTCAATTCGGTGTATAAAGGCCCAGACACACGATGCAACATTGCGCGCAACATTGCAGGTGATGTTGCTGAAGTAGGATAGTTTTCTACTTCATCAACGTTGCGTGCAACAAATTGCATCGTGTGTCATGGCTCGCAATATCAATTGCATGCAACATTGCTCGCAATGTTGCACCGTGTGTCCGTAGCTTAAAGGATACCTAATCAATATTTGAACACCACCAACTCGATGGCTGTCGTTTGCTGTCAATCATCACAAAGAACTATCGTTTTTAAATAATAGAAAAAAATCCAGCATATTTTCAATTGAATTTAACGCCGAAATCAAAAAGCATTCGTGTGTGACTACCAATATATAAAACTTTTTTTTGCTTACAGGCGGTGTGTTCGTTTTTCTCGCTTTTCATTGGCTAATATTGACTATATTTTCTAAATATGCAGGGCATACATAGTGTTACTATCTATATTTAATCAACTCTACCGGAAATAAATCGGAACCGGAAATAATTCGGAACCGGAAATACACTGGAGCCGGAAATTAACCGGAACCGGAAATTAACAAGTCAATATCAGCGAGATGCTTGTCTTGACTTAGTATGAAGATGTCATTTTGATAATCGAGGTCATTTCAGGAATCCTTTGGATTCTTTTTGCTTTTTCTTTATCCAATATGCTATCAATTCCACACGAACTGAGAGCCACAAATGATACTCCATCCATGCGAGCAAAGAATTCTGGTCCAAAACCCACGCACCACCCACTTCCGGTAGAGCAGATATAATGAATCACAACATCACCCACTTCCGGTAGAGCAGATATATTGAATTACAACCTACTTCCGGTAAAGCAGATATATTGAATTACAACACAACCTACAAAACTTGAAGAAACTCTAGACCAACGTTTTCTGGGATATGAATGGTCTCCAAGGAAACGGCTGATGGCGTAAAAGGTAGTGTTACGGGAAACATATACGCCGTGTCCATCATTAGATACATCGGTTCAGTCTTGTTGTGTCCTCGCTCTACCACGGCTTTGATAACCGACGAAGGAACACGTGCCTCGTACTCGTTCGCTGGTGTATACATGGAAAGAATCTTCTGTACTTGTAGCGTGTTGAGAGAATTACACACCTCACAGATGGCGTCTACGTCTTCTAGGGTCTTCTTGTTGACCTGCAGGAGTTGGGTTGCCTGTGTTACGGACTCGAGTGCCTCGACAATCCCGCTTCCTTCGAGTTGGTTCACTCGTACCCAGTCTTCCAGCTGACTAAGGTTAAATCTGAAAAAAACAACAAAGACCAGTCAGTGGTTCCTTCTCAAAAGTATCATGGATACAAGCCTAAAACACAAAAGAAAATCACTCTTGACTTTTAATAGACCGTTTTCTCAAGGTTGCGTGCGCATCCAAATTAAAGGAACTTGACGGGCCACGATACCAGAACAATTGCTTTTGTCAATGTGTTCTGAGCAGAAGCAATTTTTGCTTTGATTCCTTGCATTTTGAGTCCGCTTTCATTGTCTCTCGGCTTGCACTAACAGACAGGTCAAAGAACCCTACCCATTTTAATCACTGACCTGATTTGCATTCCTCTCGACCAATGACACATGTCCTTCCTCAGCAAGAGATTGTTCATCAGGTTGGCACCAAAATAATAAAACACCTGGAACAAGAATGATGCATCATCACTGTCGTCATCATTAACATCAACGTCATCATTACTATCAATCATCATGAACAACCATCATCATCATCATTATTACCACTACCATCATTTTCATCAGCATTAACATCATCATAATCGTCAGACGCTCATCGATTATCACCATCATCACTATCATCACCACCATTAACAACATCACCATCATTGTCATCAATCATCATCATCATTACCACCACCATCATTTTCATCAGCATTAACATCATCATGATCGTCAGATCATCATCACCATTAACAACATCATCACCATCATTATTATTGTCATCAATCACCATCATCAGCATCATCAATGAATCAACATCATCATCATCATGTATCATCATCATCACCATCATCAATCAATCATAATCATCACCATCATCATCACCATCATCAATCAATCAGCATGATCACCATCTTGTTAATAATTCTTTTGTGGCTTGAATTACTTGCCTGTCTAAAAACTTGCTTAATGATCTCTGGATCCACACAATGTGCGTTGAGAATATTAAGAACTTGAGATAACTACAAATAGAAGCCATCAGGAAATAAATCAATAAAGGAGGAAGAAAGACAGGGAAGGAAAAAGGTTGAGGAAGAGAAGAAACGAATAAATGATAGAAAAAAACATAGGGGGATGAAGGATGGAGAAAGTTGGGGAGAAAGGAAGAGATGTATGAAGGAAGGGATGGAGGGTGGGAAAAAGGCCGAGAGAGAGAAAGGACGAATGATAGATAAAAGATAGGAGGGATGAATGATGGAGAAAGATGGGGAGGAAGGAAGAGATGTATGAAGGAAGGGATGGAGTGTGGGAAGAAGGCCGAGAGAAAGAAAGGACGAATGGAGGATAGATAAAAGATAGAGGGGATGAAGGATGGAGAAAGAGAGGGAGGAAGGAAGAGATGTATGAAGGAAGGGATGGAGTGTGGGAAGAAGGCTGAGGGAGAGAAAGGACGAATGGAGGATAGATAAAAGATAGAGGGGATGAAGGATGGAGAAAGATGGGGAGGGAGAATAGATGGGGAAAATGAAMCAAGGGAGGGAGAGAGGGGCAGGGAGCGACTAAAGGCGAATGTTGCAATACCTTTTTAGTAATACTTTTGACAGTGATATCAACTTTCTGACGTGATCTTCCTCCTCCAAAGGGTTTAGAGCTGGATACACCGGGAATGGACTCGTACTCTAGAATACCAGGCACTGAAATAAATTATAAAATATATTATGAATCTAGCGTTCTGATTGGATGGGACCGCGTGCTTTATGAAAACACACAGCACACGCAGGCACTTTATATTTTGGTATTCATATTCAAAATAATGGTTATTGCAATTTGTTTTTATAAAGAAATGAAAAACTTGGTGGCTGTGCTGTGTGTAGTTATAAACCACTTGAGGATTAGCAGAACACTCGAGAAGTGTTGTCCTAACACCTCTCTCTGCCTTATAACTGCAAAAAGCACACACGCGTGTTTTCTATTCTTCAACAAAATCATCCAGAATATCACACAACATCCCAGTGTGCGGTCACACGAAGCTACTTTACAAGAGAATCAAACGCGGATCGCAGTGGTAAGAGGCGAGTAGTGGTAAACTACTATGCCACTCAAAGCCCATCCACCTTAAGCCCATCCAGCCAAAGCGCATCCACCTTAAGCCCATCCACATAAAGCCCACCCACATAAAGCCCATCCACCCAAATCCCATCCACCCAAAGCCCATACACCCAAAGCCCATCTACCCAAAGCCCATCCACCCAAAGCCCATCTACCCAAAGCCCATCCACCCAAAGCCCATCCACCCAAAGCCCATCTACCCACAGCCCATCCACCCAAAGCCCATCCACCCAAAGCTCATGCACCCAAAGTCCATCCACCCAAAGCCTGTCTTACCCAGCATGCCCTGGACAACTTCCCATATAGCTTTGACCAGATCCTGGTAGATATGTATAGACAAGTCACTTAATACTTGTCTGTACTCGGTCAAGTCGAAATTCTTCAAGCAGTGCTCGTTCTGTTCCGGGGTGTTATGATTCTGGAATGCCTAGAGTGACATAACACAGATAAATAATTAGATTATTGGTGATATCTAATAATGAAGCTCTGTATTTGATACACCAACACGTTGTGTGGGATTTGTGTTTATATTACTCACAATGCAATGCATTATAATATAAAATTATGAATATTTTAATAGCATATATAGTTCAGCCAGAAACAGCAAGTGAATCACGTGTTTAGGTTTAATTTAGTTTTTTTWAAATAAAATATTGGATTTAAAGGTATTTTTATTGTGATTTTTTTCATTAAGTGGGTTCCAGTCAAAGTGGCTCAAGCGTACCCTCCTAGATTCTATTAATGGTCTCATTATTCGAATATTTAAATATATCATTCTTATATAAATTCTGATTGGATTATATTGTTCCTTATATGGAATAATCCAATCACAATTCGAGTTTTGAATCCGTTATTATTTTGAATCCTGAGTCTTCGTATCATGTTTCGTAAAGAATAATAAATTTCAATAGTAGAATAATGAAGCAATTAATGGAATCTTAGACTAAGCTTGAGCCGTTTTGACTGTAAAATACATTTTGTTAGGATAATAGACCAAATTCAAAACTCGCACCGATGTGAGGCTTATGTTGTGAACAAAGGAATCTGGCGTGATTTGTGACTTTTGAATCACGCTAGATTACTTTGAGTCACGCCAGATGCCTTTGTTCACAACTTAAGCCTCACATCGGTGTGAGTTTTGAATTTGGTCTATACGAAAAACAGAAAAATATTAAAGGATGAACGAAACTGTAAAACGACAACAACAAACAAACAAACAAAAAAAGAACAGAATGAAAACATAAATAAAGGAACTGAAAAGAAAAAGATTGAAAAGAAAAGACAGAAAGAATGAAAGAGTATAAAAAWATCTGACTTCTAAGTTGATTAAAAACAAATACAGAAATTTTCGAAGAGGGTGAAAAAGATGCATTCTGGTCTAGCTTGGGTAAAAACATCTATTCTTTGTCATGCCTTTTATGGTGTTGTTAGAACCCTTTCTATACCAGAATGCACCTGGTTTTCTAGGGTCTAACATGACCCGGTCAAGTGCAAGTCTTGGTGCAAGTAATGAGGATCCAAAAAAAAAAAAAAAAAAAAAAAAAAAAAAAAAAAAAAAAGAAAGAAAGAAAGAAAGTTAAGTAAGAAAAGAAAAGAAACGAGAAGTTAACTAACATCTTTTAAATAATCTTTAACTTGTGACCATTGACGACGAAACGCGTTAGATATGCCTTCCCCTGCGGGCTCTCGTTGGTCCCACTACATGTGATGTGAGAGAAAGAGAGAAAGAAAGAAAGAGATAGAGATGGAGAATGGTGAAAAAATGAAATAGAGGGATATCAGATACAGAGCAAATAACTGAGGTTAGGAAAGACATATTAAAGCAAGTATGTTACTGTAAAAGTTATTTTAGTAAAGTTTGTCACGTGAATACTGAATCATGCAGTATATATACATATATGTATTATGTCAAAAACAAAGCTAAACCAACCTGATTTACTTATTGTAGCCAACACATCTCTTTTTGTATAAACACAAACTTTTCTTTACTTTTTTGTTAAATTTTAACATAGAAATGAGCTTTTCATACTGCAGTATTCAGTACTCCGAAAGACAATATTTGTTTAAGCTGGTTTAATCACTGATAGAGATTTTAAAATTATTGGATTAGCACTCGAAATTTTAAGAAACGTTTAAGTGTCATTTATCATTTTATCAGTGGTATTTGTCAGCCATGTTCAGGATAGGCTCGGTTTTAACCGTTATGCTGTCGTTTGTTCCAAGCCAAATGGCAATTACCACTGACCAGTAAGTGGAGAGAGGATCGTGGGCTCACCGAAACCACCACGGATAGAAATCGAGCCTGTGTTTAGATTTGACCACAGTAATGTGTTCCGTTTAAAACCCATACTTTTTGATGCGCTTTGGCCTTGCATCCACATTAAAGCGATCGAAATCGCATACATTTGAAAATGCTTTCTAGAGTATAGACGTTTGAGAACGGAGGCCTATTGTATTAGTGTGGAGAGCGAAAACAAAGGCCTTTGAAAACGCTGACGCAAATCACACGGGTACCTTTGTTAATCGCATTCACAGATGATGATATTGCGTCATCTCTGATCGTATCTGCGTTTTTGATCGTTATTGTGTGAACGGGCGAAAACGCTAATGGAAAACGCTATGAAAATCTCATGAAAACGGGACAAAAATTGGGACAAAAAATGAACCGTATTTCTTTCGTTACCCTGTCTCCGCTGTATTGCTTCATGTCGTGCAGTAACCGTGACGTGTTTGCTAGCCAAAACGCCAAAATGTCCAAGTTATTGGGGTTTTTCTGTCAAACAGAAAAGATATTAATAACATCTTAATTAATAAATAAATCAAAAAAATGTATTGAATTTTCAACTTCTTCCGCTGTAACCTCACATTCAGCTACCTTACGTCGGCATATAAAGCGATACCTCTATTAAAGTTTTCTTCCCATATTAACTGTGAAATATTAGCGAACACCAGGAAAAGTCCCGAAGGTGTCCGTTGAATAGAGGTATCGCAGTAACACGATAATCACGTGATGCATGACCATCAACCACTCAGCGCACTCGAAATTCCACCCATTTACCTACGTCATCACACTAGTATTCAATCATATCTCACCTTGACGACTTTTCTAATACTGTTAATACAATTGCTTAATAGACTCTGCATACGGTGATCATCATTGATGTGGTCAGCGTGCCTTATACACATGAATAATATATGCGCGGGCAGGCCAGGGATGGCGTCCGATACAGCTGAAGGGTTCATGTCGAGGATCAAGTTCTTGATGAGTTTTTCTTCGTCTTCGGTCTTGAACTCGATCATTCCCGTGGCTTTTCTTTGCTTGACTTGAAGCGGAAGTGGAAGCATATCCTATCAAACAGGAAACAAGTTAGAAGCTCAAAACCGGAAATGGGGAAACAATATTGGGTGAAGTCCTTGGGTAGCAATGGGTAACCAAACTAGGTAACTTTGGTCAAGTAAGACGGTAAATGACAATGGGTAACAAAATTGGTAATTATTGGGTYAAAAAGATTTAGGAACACTGGGTAAAGAATTTGGGTAACCTTGGGTAACAATCTGGGTGCCGTGGGGTGGGTACCGTGGGGTGGTTACCGTGGGATGGGTACCGTGGGGTGGGTACCGTGGGGTGGTTACCGTGGG